TTTCTGAAAGAGATAATTATTATAGTTAATGAATACCATAAGTCATATTACAGTGGGAGTGCTTGTAGCTCATAACATGTTCTCGTGTAATTTCATTCCTTCCTATAGGCTGGCGAGGCCAGAAGACTTTGAGGTTACATCATGGTGCATTTCGCAGGCAATATTTGTGATTCTTGGTTTCGTAAAACTGAAAGCTCAGTGAAGAGGGAACAGTGGTAGAACAGACCCATTATTTTTTGAAGTTGGACCAGCCTGAAATAGTACAGATTTCTGGGCCAATATATTATTTGTCCATGGCACAGATCCAATGATACCAGTCAGCAGCCCTTCCCATTGGGCATCATGGTTTTAATTCCAGAGAGGACCGCCAAGCCCTGTCAGGTAGGGGTGGTCCACAACCAGCACAGAGCCCCTCTTTATTTCAAGGTTTAGAACCAAGACCATAGCCTTTTTATTTTTTTAAGGGCTGTTTCATTGGCAACAGAAAGAGACTATGTAATTGACACAGTTTGAGCTCTTAGCATGTGAAGATCTGTAACACAGGCAGATTTAGCTCTTTTGTTCCTATTTCTATATTTAATATAATTTATATTAAATTTTTGCAAAATTAACTTTTGGCTAAGTCATTTACCGGCCACATCTGTTGATCAGCAGAAATAGAAGGGAGAAAGAGGGTGCTCACACTTATAAGCGACTCATGTGTGCCAATTAAAAGCAGGGTTATAGTGAGATAATCAATTCCCAGTAAAGAAGACAAAGGAGCTGGAACTCCAGAGAGAACAAGTGATTGCTGACAGTCAAGGCTGGTGAGAGTGGGTATGGATTGAGACCAAGCTCAATTGGCCCTGAGGTCTATGTGAACAAGAAACCTTCTCTAGGATTCCCCAGCAGACACACATAGCCATGCTGTTTCAGGTGCACTCTCAGGTTGCTTCTGCAGGAGGCCTTATGTGCCTGAGCGCAGAAACTCGCAAACTTGATTGAGAACCCCGTGGTGTTGTGTCCAGCATGAACATTTCAAACTCTAACCACTCCTGCATCTGCAAATGGCATTTACCCTGCTGGGTGTCTAGGGTAGGGTAGCATCCTACCCGATGTGGATCCTATTGGAGGCCCCTGTCCTCAGGGAAATGGTGCTGGTTCTCACCAGAAATAGATAAAGAGGAAGATATCTCTGCTGAATAAAAACGGATGTAGCTGTCCCGACTCCCTGCTCCTGAATGAAGCAGGGAGCCTCCTGTGCTCAACTTGGTGTTTGTCAAGCTATAGTTGCAGCAATGGCAATACCAAGTTTTCAGGCTGAAGTCAACACACAGTTAATGTCATTACCTTTCTTTGTCCTGGGTATCAGAATAATATCTCTTACTTAGAACTGTTCTATGCAGATAGAGTGAGAGGAGTAATTTAACCTATCAAAAGGTTATTTTGAGCAAAAGCCACCTTGTGTCTCTAGGCTGTAGAACTGAGTACGATGGAAAAGGTTAAAAGTCGCAGGGTCGAGGACAGTGCCTATATTATCTGACAGCACAGAAACTATTCAAAGTCTTCTTTGGCTGAGCCCAGGGTGTGCTGGAGGGCCTGAAAGAAAAAGGAGTGGCCCTTGTGACCAGTGCCTTTCGGTTCAGAAAGGCATCTCTTGTTTAGTGGCACAACAGGCTTGCTACTTCTGCTTTGAGGTCAAATCAGGATCGAACATTATCCCCAATTTACAGATGATGAAACCATATGGGCAGGAGAGTAAGTCACCCCAGGTAAGTTGGGCCTGGGCACTGGCACAGAAGCAGGAATGACCATTTTGAATGTAGCTCGTTAAGGGCCCCCAGTGTTCCTTGTGTGGTCCAGGTGTTGAGAGGATGAGCCCAGAAAGGTTGCCACGGAGATGAGGGGTGGGAGGTGCCTCTGGACTGGAGAAATTAAGAAGACACACAACAAAGCCTCAGGTTTCCAGGAGGATGGATACTCTGTTTTGTAGCCTTTGGGAGAAGGCAAGAAAAGGAATCTGTGTTCAATCCCGACAGCCTGGAGAAACAAACCACATGTATTTCTTCATCACACTGAGAGACAGCATCCCTGTGCTTTAGGAAACCAGGCTAATGTGGATGCCAGCTCTCAGGGCTGATGACTTTGGAGACCATGGGCTGGAGCTTCTGGTCACCAGAAGCTCCCTAGACCTGATGGAGGAGAAGTTCAGCCCCAGGTTTCTGTGCCCCAGCTCATATCCAGACGATGGGGTATTTGGAATAGAGAGACTCAAGAAGCTGGAACCTGACTTTTATTGTTATATCCCATGTGAACACCTGTGTTCTTTCTGGTTCCTACCTCTTTTGTCAAGTGTGTTCTCAGGTAACTCAACCAAACCTTTCTAGTCTCATTTTGTTCTACTTTATAAAATAAAGACACAACATTTATGTCATATATTGTCCTGAGGACTAAATGAGAGAAGGAGGAGCCTCTTCTGCATTCCCCTGGCTTCCAGTGGGTGGAGACTGAAGAGAAGCTACTGCTAAACATCTGTAAGGCGCAAAGACAGCCCCATCACAAAGAACTGTCTGGCCCTGATGTCAGTAATGCAGTACTCAGGAGCCTGGTGTGGGGAAGAGAAAACTCAGAAGCTTGTACATCTCTAATTCAAACCCTGGTTATTCTGCCACCTCTAATAAGGCCTGATCAGGGGAATAGTATCTAGCTAAAATTCATTGACTTGTTTGTTTTCATTAGTTATATTTTGCTGGCTTTCCATTTGTGAGAGTAAGTTTCCTTTAAGCACTAATTTGTAAATACGACAATGAGTATCCACAAACATAAATCACGTCACGGAAAAGGTAAGCACTCTCACGTGGCAATAATTATGACAGAGGCGCAAAATGACCTGAGTGACCCGGAATTGACCCACGAGCACTGACTTCAAACACCGTCCATTAGGACGTCCTGTATCCCCCAGACCCTTTCCTGGGTCCTTCTGGGCCCTAAAACCTCCTAGACCATCCAGACCTCAGGCCACCCACCTCTCTGTTGCCAGAGCAGTCTCATTCCAGAACGTGCTGGTCACCACCAGCAGCAGCTGCTCATCCTCCAGGCAGCTCAGCTTATACTCATCCATACAGAGAACCTGGGTGGCTAAAGTCATTCCAGCCCTCAGCTCCCCAGTAGACACTCTGGGCTTCCTCCCAAAACTCCCCCCGGCCAGGAATCCTGGGCTCATCTGTCTCTCCCAGTGCCCAGCACAGGTAGGCGCAGAGGAAGTGAATGGACCGATTTGAACACATCATCCTCAGTTCTCCTTCCCGCTCCAAGCCCTGCAGCTAACCCCATCGGCCTGATCACAGGCTCTGCCTCCCAAACCCTCACTATCCATGTCCAAACGCCTCTCACCCGTCCACTGCTACTTACAAATTCTGTGTGTGTGGAAATATTTCAGAAAATTGGAATGAGCAGGTCGCTGGCACACCTGGAGGAATGCCGGGAAATGTGCCCTAGCACTTGTTATTCTATCCAGACACACCCAGCGAGGATGGGGGACCTTGGAACCACCCTCTGGCAGTTCCAGGCTCCTGGGGGGCCAACGGGGAGGTTAAGAGTGTTTTTCAGTGACCTGACTGAGCTGGTCATCAGTCACTCCCACCTTGGCCTAGGCCTCTACATGGCACAGATGACGCTCGACCAACCTGGCATTACACTGGCCTGTGCCGTGTCCTCAGGAGTCACATTAGTCCCAGAAGCCGTGCAACCCTGGAAAAACCCATGAACCTGTCTAACAGTCAGTTCTCCTCTATGCATTAACAATGACATTGACGCCTGCTTTGCAGGGTGCTGGGAGGGTAGAGGGAGGTGTACGCTGGAGGAGTTCCTCAGGCAGGCTGGCTCTGCATCACTCACTCTCAGATCCTCAGAGCCTGGAGCTGGCCCAGCAGGTGGCCACCATTCCCTAAGAGTTTGATCCGTAGTGCTGAAGCAGGGGATAGAGCTTTGACAGACCCTGTGTCACTAATATTCTTTACCTTCAGCTTACTCATCCTCCACCCCCTTTCACATGCACCCTGCAGAGCACGTGTTCACTGAGCTTCCACAAAATTCACTGAGCAGCTGATGGATACCATGGGAGCCTGGATTCACTGTCAAAGTGTTTCTCAAAGGGTGCTCTCCAGAACACCATGGAAAAATCATTTGCTGTATAAGTTTGAAGCCCTGCCCACAGGTCTCCTTGTGTGAAGCAATCGCTCATTCAGCCCAGGTGTGTGTGTTTGCTGGACCATCTGGAGGAAGCTGAGGGCGCAGGCTGAAGGCAGAGGGAGGTGAGTCAGTGGGATCTTGGGACAGGTATGAGAAGTTGAGGCAAATGGAATATTCCAGCGCCAACTAACCTTAGATAATAGTTCACATTATTATTTAGTTAATAGGATTGTACTCTGTTGAACTGCTAATTTTTTTTTTTTTAAGTCTCATAAGTGCCCAGGCTGGAGTGCAGTGGTGCCAGTCATGGCTCATGTGCTTCCTGGGCCTCATGGGCTCCAGCAGTCACCACCTCAGCCTCCTGACTAGGTGGTGGGACTATAGGCACACGGCACCACGCGCCTGACTAATTTCTTTGACTTTTCTCTAGAGACAGGGTCCACCTGTGTTTCCCAGGCTGGTCCCAGACTTCTAGGCTCAGTGAACCTGAGCATCCTGCCTCCACCTCTCAAATTGCTGGGATTACAGGTGTGAGACACCACAGTCTAAATTGCTATGTGCCATGGTACTGCAAAACATCATTATTAGGGGCAGCTGGATGGAAGGTGTGAGTCACTGTAAGTGCCTTTTCAATCTTTTATATCTAAAATAATTTCAACAGAAAACATTTATTTTAAAACATGTGGGGTTAACCATCTGGAGTTGAAAATACAAAAAGGCAGGCACACTGATTGTCGTCAGAATTCAGAAAGCTGGTCACATGGCTGGGGGGTGCTGGGAGGGGCTGGGCATGTGGTTGGCTTTTGTGATCTGGGGGCTGGTGTGTTCCATCTGTGAAGGTCTTTGGGAGCTGCACACTTTCTTAATCAATTTTAAGTAAGTTTAACAAAAAAATAAAATGAGGACGTGAAGTTTGCTTGGGTTGTTAAGCCTCAGGAAGTTATCCAGCCATGAACCCTGCCCTAGATGCTTCTAGAAGGCTGGAGGGAACTGAGAATTTTCCAAGTAGAGGCGGCAGAGGCAAGGCCCTGAGGTGGGAGCGCACTGCTGCTCGTCCCTGGCTGTGGCCGGGGTGTCTGGTTGGAATCAGTGCTGGAATTTGCAGTGCAGGGCTGAAGTCCATGTCACATTGCAGCTCAGTGCAGTGAAAGCCAATCTAACCCCTCCGCAGGGTGTTCCGCTGCAGCAGGTGGCCAGCTGGGTCCTCCTGGGAGTCACGGTGCCATTCTAGAAATTGGGTGCAAGTCTCTTTTCCGTGAACAGGGTGCCCTGTTGCAGTAGGATATCTCCTTGCCTCCTCAGTCCTGGTGAGCACTGGGCAGGGCCTGGTGTCCAGAGGTCCCCGTGGGCTTCTCGAGATGGCCTGTCCCACAGTCCTGGGGGCTATCAGGAAACATTCAGAGGTCACGAGACCATGGCTCTATGACAGAAATGCCAATGGGGAACCAAGGGCCCCCTACATCCAGGTCCGTGTCGGGAGCAGGCATCGAGTTCCCTCCCAGGAATCTCCCAGAACCCTAGGGTCTTCTCTGAGCCGAGGCCGGAGCTGGAGGCACACCCCAAAGCGCACACAGGGCAGGTGTCTTTCGGACCCAGCCCCACCAAGACAGGATGTGGAAACGAGGGGTGCCCATGGTGGGGAAACTAGCCAAATGGAGCCGCTGGAACCGGGCTGGTGAGCCTGGAGGGGCCTGTCTGTCCCCCTGCAGAGGTCATCCTGCCATGAAGCCTTTAGGCCTGGGTGTTGAGGACTGTTGCTTGGGTTTGGCTGAAAGGAAAACAGACGTGGTCAGTGTCTCTAATGAGCCCATGCAGGCCTTTCCGGCTGGGCCACCTGGGTCTCTGGAGTCCTCGGGGGTCTCTGTGTGGCCCCGGGGCCTGGCCTGAGGACACGCCTGTAGTCTGCTGGTCAGAGGAGGGTGTGTGCCACCTGGCATGGGGAAGCTGTCAGGGCATGACAGGTAGCTCCTAGGACTGCCCCCAGGGTTCGGACTGGCTGGCGGCTTCCTACCACACACGCTCGTCCCAGGGCTGTTGGACCAGGGATACAGCCCCCAGTGAGAACTCAGGTGGAGGAACTTGGATGTCACCCAGCCCCTTGTCACCTCACATGCAGGGACCCATCTCCAGTGGGTGATGGGACCTGGAGGTGGAGTCACCCTCTGCCTTCCTGGGCTGCCCAATTCCATGCCAGGACTGACCGTTCCCCACATCTGCCTAATTCTTGGCTCTGGCTCTCGCCTGGGGTCCCCTGCCTGTGCCCTCTCCTGAATGCTCTGGGGTCAGGGACACCAGGATCCTTGTCTCCTGGCTCAAGGCTGGTTGTCCTGGCAGCCTGTGGAGGAGTGTGCAGCAGTGAGGGCCTCTGCTGCTCTCTGAGGCTGTGGCTGCTTGCGAGGAGGCTGGGGTTATCCACAAATGGGTCTGGATTGCCTTTAGTGCCCTTGACTGCCTTGTGATGGGGGAGCAGAGACACTGGAATGTGGGAAGATTGGGTGGAGGGTCATGCCCACATCCCCCTCTTGCGATGCACATCACATCAGTACACACGCACGGCGCCTGCCTGAGGACCGGTGGGCCTTCTGTACTTTCTTGATCAGGAGGAAGAGGAGGAAGAAAAGGTGAAGAGGAAGGCCCAGGTACTAGGGTTGCGGGTCTCGGGGACTCTCCCACTAATGAACTGCCCCCAGAGGGTGACATGGGAGGGGACATGGCACTGGAGCCCACCTGGGGGTGGCAGGTCCCTTGCTTCCTTGTTGGTTCTTCACTAGAGGCCTAAGATGCTTGAGCACAGAGTCATCATCCAACTCCCAGGTATGGAAAAGATTGGTTCCAAAAACCGTGTCCAGGCCTGGACGTCTTCGTCGAGAGCGCTCTAGGGACAGGGTGGACATCAGGCAGGATTCCTGGGAGGGGCACAGCTGATACCCCATGGCCCTTCAGTCTCCCACTGGCGTGTAGGAGTCTTTTGTAGCAACCCTGGGGTTCCGGATGTGCACAGGAGACTGTGGCCGGGGAAGTGGGTAGGGAAGTGCTCAGGACACTCCTGACTTTCATCTGGGCCATGTGGGGGACAGAACAGTGTCACTGTGCCTTGCCCAGCCCACCTGGCCAGACCTCCCTCTGGGCCAGAACAGAGGATCACGAGGACAGTGTGGGGAAGTTGCCCTCGGGTAGAGTCGGGTCTGACCTCAGGGCTCCCCAGGCCCCTGGGCACATGTAGACTTACTTTTTCTGAACTTTAAAGGCAATCTGTATCATCGGCATCAACACCTGTTCTCCTTCCAGCAAATACACGTCCCACAGGCGCAGGATGAGCCAAAGAGAGATCTGTGGGGATAGTAGGTGTGGGAGACTGCTTAGCCCTTCCAGGCTGGGGCTGTGGCTCAGAAGGCTGAGCCCACTGGGGCTTCCCCAGAGTCAGTAACCTTCCCCATGAGGTTTCCTGGAGTCCTCCAGGAGGCTGGGTCAGACAAGGTCTTGCAGCTCCTCATGGGGGGCACTCATTGGAGAGGGGGTGTGGCTCACCTGGAGGGAATTGCCCAGGGCTTGGGAGCTTCCTGATCCCTCCCAAGTCAGTTCAGCTTGGTCTGCCTATAAGGCTCATCCTGGAGTCCCAGTTATTGCCTGGGATGAACCCTCTTGGGCAAGAGGGTTTTGCTTGGGTGTCCTGTTGAGGACAGCCCCTGTAGGCAGAGCCTCTGTGAGCTGTGGGTGAGCCAAGACCCCAGGGCTGGGAGAGGAAAAAGCTGTGCCAGGAGCACTGCAGGGCAAGGGAGGATCCTGAGCCAGGATCTCCCTGTGCCTTCTTACCCCGTCATTCAACATCTGGAGAAGCCCAGCCCTAACGAGGAACTCTGCGTGAAAAAGACCTTCCTTGTCTGATGGGAAGACAGAGAAGTGCTCAGGGGCCCCCTGGGCTGCCCTAAAAACTTCCCTCTTCCAGGGCCTCTGAAGACCCTTCCTTTAGTGCAGAACAATAGGCGGTGTCCAGGGCTCCCCACAGCCACCGTCCTTCCCACACTCCGGTGAGACACACTGTCTTTGCCCTGCTCTGCGGGAGCTGGGACCCCATCCCTGTGCCTCTGTCCTATAGACCAACTCCCAGCCCATGGAGAACCCGACATCCCAGGTCCAGCCAGTGGCTGGGACTCAGCCAGTCACCAGCCGGGATGCAGGGCCTCTGGAAGAGCAAGCTTGCTCACAGACGCCATAAACTCACCAGACGCCACATGGTCTTGGGCTGTGACGTGGGGACCACACGCTCCTGATGGTCTTGGAGGCCCTGGACTGTCCCGCCATTTGGGCTGTGGAATCCTGAGAAGCCCCCAGCCCGTCAGAAATCAGAGCCTTTCCCCATGTGGAGCCATCAGCTGGAAGGAGAGCTGGGCAGCTGGAGAGGCCCCCAAACGCAAGGCCTTTCACCCCTCCCATCTGGTGACCCCTACATGCAGCCTTTGCCCTGGGGAGGTGGGTCAGGAACATCCCCTGGAGTCTGGCTGCAGGTTTCCTAGAGCCTCCTGGACAGGGTGCAAAAAGGGCAAGCCTGACTTAGAGGCCACCATGGCCCGGCAGAACAGGGCGGGTGCTGGGCCCTGGTCGTCTCCTGGAGGTGGGGTCGGGCCAGGGGGACACGGGATGAGGGAGATGCTGCCACCTGGGCTTGATAGAGGCCCATTTGTGGGCACAAAGACAGCACGAGCCTAAGGCAGCTGGAGGGCAGGAGGACTCTCAGGGTGGGAGAGTCAGCTACACAGAATCAGAGCCAGAGGGCGTGGCAGCAGGACACAGAGAGGGTGGCCACGGGAGGATGAGATGCCTCCCGTGATGGGGATGAAAGTCGTCACCGGCTTGGGCTTTGGGTGTCAGCCGCGCGGACTCCTGTGAGACCCTCAGCAGAGACACCTGAAGACTCCCAAGGAGCTGCCTACAAGAAGGTACCTTGGCTGAAAGCCGAGATCACCTGGCCAGGGTGGCCATCCCTGGGTCTGGCTGTATGAGGTCCCATGGGCAGCTGTCCACTTACCCTGCAGGGAGTGCCTCTCCCTGGCCAGCAGCTGCACCAGTGCCCAGAATGCATCCTCCTCAGGCAGATACAGGAGGAATAAGGCCGCGATGGTGCTCAGGTCCCTGCAGTAGCCCGCCTCCTGCAAGAGCCAGAGTCACCGTGAAAGGACAACACCTGGGAGGACTGAGGTCACCTGGGAGGACTCATGTCATTGGAGACGGGAGAGGTGACTGGGAGGCTTCCTCTGAAGAAGAAGCACTCAGGGTGCAAATTCATTTCATGACAAGAGCCAAGTCCATCAGGCACTTCAGCACCTTGTCAAATCTCTCTGATGGCACCGTCCTGCCTGTGACCCTGCACCATGCTCCCGGGCTTGGGTGAAGCCCAGGAGGAGGCGTCATTTCTCAGTTCGGAGAAGTGGTGGTCAGACCCAGGTGACACCAGGAGTCCAGGCCCGGCTCCTTTGTGTCTCAGCTGCCGGCCCCTTGAGGCCACCCCCATGGCAGGAGGTTTATGCCAGCAGTGAGCTGGAGTCCTGCCTCCTATATCCTGGTGGGTCACAAATACTAACTTTAAAAGAAGCAGCGGCCTTACCCCACAGACACACCCACTCCTGTGAACAGTTACTGCCTGGAAACATCACTGCGGGAATACTCACCGGGTTATACTCGAATATGCCAGGAGGATGTAGGAATAGTTCCGCTGCCTAGGAGACAGAGAAAGGAGGCTTTGTTTGTTTGTGCAGATACTTAGTTTCAGTTTGTCTACAAAGCCTGACCATAAATCCCATTTCAGGTTGAGATGATTCACCAGATAAGCAGTGAGCTCTTCAGGGTCTTTGACTTTGAGGAAATGTTTCAGGAAAATCCACATCTGTGACATGCAGATAGCCCAGTTGTACCGTGACTTGCCTGCTCCTTTATACTCTAGATAATTTTTTTTTTTCAATTTGCACACACGGCAGCTCAGTCTTTGGATGTACAGTTCCTCCACGGTTCTAAATCAATGAGCAGAATCTCCTGGCGACTGCTTCAGCCCTCCTGGGCGACTCACTTCATCTTCCAAGTCTCCAGGGTGGCCCCTATGCCCGGCCTCTCCTGATCCCTCAGCCCCCGGCCACCCAGACTGCTTGTCCAGTCCTATGGTTGGCACTTTTCCAGAATGGCCCAGGAATGGGAATCCTACGTGGTAGCTTATTGGGTCTGGCTTCTTTCCCTCAGCAAAATGCATCACGATCCACCCACGTTCGATGCGGGCATCACTGGCTGTTCCTTTTCTCACTGTGTCTTCCGTTTGGAGGGAGGACCAGCCTTGCTCTCCCGTTCCATGTTGAAGACTGTCCCCGAGCTCCTTGTGTGGTGACGATGAATCAAGCAGTGGACGTGGCATGGGTTTACTTGTGGACATCAGTTTTCAAATCAGTGGGTTCAATATTTGTGATACTTTGGGGACACGTGGTTCAAGTCCATTGAGCTTTGAGTCACTGCCAAACTGGCTGCAAAGGCTGTGCCATGTCATGTTCCCAACAGACCAGGATGACCAGTTTCCGGACCCCTAATTGCCCCAGCATTTGGTGCTGTCAGTGTTGCCTGGGAGGCTCATGGAGCGCTAATCCTGCCACCCTCCCATGGGTCCTACCATGGGTCCCCGTGGGTCAGGGAGAGCACCTTTCACCATTGTGCATGATTTTGTTTCTGACTTTGTCTCCTCAGGGTCCTCCTGGTTCAGTCCCACATGGCACCAGTCTGGCCCAGGGCTTGGGAGACAGGGTCCTCATTTCATGGTGCCAGCTGCTCCCTGGGTCAGGGGAGGTCTTGGCAGCTCTGTCATCCCTCTAGGTGACCCTGGCCCCTTCTCCGAGAAGCCCCATCCCTTTCATTCACTCCATCTCTGCTGAGACCCTGTGGCTCCCATAAACACTTGGTTCCCGTGCTCAGTCCCTGAAGAAGATGTGAGTCCTTAGTGTCTCTCTCACGTCCACATCGATCTGGTGGATGTGTTCAGATGACCTCTTGCCCTTCTCCTTCATGACCTGTAGGGCAGGGCCAAGAGGAGGAAGCAGCCTCAGAACAGATGGAAGACTCCCTGCCCCAAATGGCAGTCGGCCCACAGTCAGCACTCGGGAAGGAAGGAAAGCAGGAAAGGTTTCCTTCTGCACAAAGCTGCTTTTGGCTTGTTACTGAAGCCGGGGAGGGTCACGGGTGAGTTTGTCTGTGGTGACTATGCCACCGTCCGTGCCCAGGATGTGCATCTGACCATCCCACCCACCCGCCAGCCTGGGCTTGATGCTCCCTCCAGGCAGAGACCTGGGCCCTGACCACGGCCTGTCCTGTTTGTTGTGCTCTGGCTGAGCGTGCCTCGTATGTTCTGGGGTTTTTCCCACTTGACTTCCTGTATGTTCTTAAGGACTGACCACACTTGGCCCCTGAAGTTCCTTAGGAATGCCCTTATATACTCGATCTATCAGCTGTGGGCAGAAAACAACCTGGTGTCACAGGCCACGGGCGACCCAGTGAGGACCAGAGCCGAGGATTCTGGAAATGGTTGGTTTGGCTCCATGATTCCTCGTTAGAGGTGACATTAGCTGGGACAGGGTCTCTCCACTAAGTTGAAAAAGTGGATGGACACTCAAGTCGGGACTCTGATCTGAACCTTTCCTTCCTTTAGGTCTGGGGTGGAAATCCCTAGCCTTGGGCTCTAGGGTGTTTCCAGCCCTGAGTCAGGTTCCCTCTCCCAGCAAGGTGACGCTTGCATAAATAGGCAGGCAAACCACCGACCAGGCCTGCAGTCCTCTGGGTGAGGACAGTGTGCCACCACCCTCCAGAGAGGCTGACGGTGCCAGGCCATAGCCATGGGTGCCTGTCCCTGTCTCTGCAGAAAGTAGGTTCGGGGCCTCTCCCTCCACATTACCTTTTACTGTTCTTATATGTCTCCATTGTCGCAGCATTTCCATCCACTTGCTCTTTAAATTGTTATCTCCCGCCGCATTTGCTGTCAAATGAGAATGTTGAGTATGGGGAGCTGCCAAGCTTCCCAGAGCCACCTGTGGATGCTGGGTCTTGGGCTCTGGAGCCCTGGTGGACCCAGCTGAAGGGAACCAGGAAGGGCAGACCCTAAGAGCTGAGAGCCTTTGGGCAAGGCACCAGTGGGCTGGCTTTGCAGGACCCGGGGCGTGCCATCCTCAGGCCACCCAGACACACCAGTCTTGGGTCAGGTCCAGCCTCTAGGTGGGGTCCTGACACAGGCGAGCAGCCACCCCCAAACACAACTGTGGTTCTCACTTTGGAATCTTATCAAGCTGCTAAAGTTACAGCAGCAGTCCAGGTCAGCAGAGTGCTGCCCCTCCCAGGGACATCGTGTTGGCCTCACCCGCCACCGCCCAGGCCAGCTGCCTCCTCTGCCTCACCGACCACCAGCAGTCCCACATCCCTGGTTCAGCCCCCTCCCCATGCATCGAGCTCTTACCTTCACCTCCCGAGCAGTGGCAGGAGGCAGCTCTGTCTCACTGTAAGACAAAACGCAGGCAGAACTGAGGACCTGCACCCAGGGCCTGGAGCTGCCAGACAGGTTCCAACCCCCAGAAAGGACAGGCTCTGTCCCTATCCGGCTCAGGTCTCAGTCCAGGAAAGACACGGGGGGAAGGGAGGACAAGAGACCCTTTCCTGTGGGGCTGACTCCCAGGAGGGGCAGGACCTGGGAGAAGAAGGTGTGAGGCCAGCCTGGCTGGTTACTAGAGCCCCTGGCGTGGGGGGCGGTCAGGCTGCACAATGGGGCTGCCCATCCTGGACTGGAGGTGGTGCTTTCCACTGGAGCTGAGAAAGGTCAGGCCTGAGACGGGATGGGGGCTGCCCAGGGTGGGCGACAGGGCCCTCACAGGAGTCACTCGGGGAGTGACTGCATCACCCCACCAGGGTCAAGGGAGCCTGCCGTGAGACCTGCCGGTGTACTCCTGGTGCACCAGGGCCCATCCCCTTGACAGCCCAAGGCCACAATAGCCCCCAAGGTTCTGACTCGCATCCACCTGCCTCTCCCTGCACACAACCCACACACCCTGCGTTTCAGAAGTGGCGCCGCTCATCAGCTCCCTCCACCTACCTCCCCGGGATCCTCTGTCTCTCCATCCTGTGATCCCTAAAGGGATGGACTCTGGCTGGGCTCCTCTTACCTGGCCCCAGATCCCTTCCCAGCACCAGACCCAGGGTCTGTAGCCACAAGCCAGCTGCCTCCTGGCCTCACGGTGAGATGCCCATAACAGGTCCCTGCCCATCTTCTCCTCCATTCTCCTAGGGCCACCGCTCCCATTGTTCCCATGCCTTCCCCCTTCTCCAAAGGGGACAGTGAGAGCTGTAGCTCTGGGAAAATGAGGAGGACAGGGAGCGGTGGGCCCTCAGAGACCTGCTGGACAACAGCCTGAGAGGCTAGGCAGGCGTCCCCTCACCCTGTAGCCCAGAACCCTTGGATTTCACTGGGGTTGTTTCCAAGAGTAGACATGGCCAGACCCTCCAGGCTGCCCGCTCCTCTTGTGCTGACTTGGGGACAGAACTGCTGAGTCAGGGGCCTGACCTAGCCCAGATCTCCATTCCCACCCGCTCCTAGATGGGCCGCACCTCTGGCCTAGCAACAACCTGGGGCTGGACCTGCAGGGGAGCCAGGGAGGAGTTCTGACCCTGGAAAGGAGGTTGGCCTGATCTGTGAGAACAGTCCCGCTCGGAAAGGCCTTTCTGAAAGCAAACCCATCCCTGAGCTGAGACAGGTGCTTCTGAGGGTGAGGGGAGCACAGAAGACTCACTGCAGAATCCCAAAGCGATCAATGTTGTTGTAGATTCTAACAGGCCCAGGCCCCATGTCCTCTGGCAAGCCCAGCTGATGTCCCTGCAACCCAGAGGAGGCTTGGTGAGGGAGCCCAAGTCAAAGGGGTGCAAGGGCCTGGGAGGTAGTAACCACCGTGCCCACTCTGTGCTCTAGGAGCCCAGGACCCTTTGACCAGGGCGCACTGGAAGAGAGGCCCCACTCCCACTCAGGCAGACCCTGTACCTTCTCATAGTTCATGATGATATTCTCTCGCTCCTGTGCCCACAAACTATCTGCATCCTCTATGATTACCATCCTGTGAAACAAAATCATCTAAAAGTTACATTGTACTTGAGAGTTTCAGAGAACACACCTGAGGCCGTTCCCTTGAGCTCCCAGATGCTGGCTGGCCATGTAACCTGATTCCATCACTTTCCCCAGGTAAAGGTGCCAGACCCTGGTGTCGCACCTGCATGAGTGTCTGGAGTCTCAGTCCCAAGCAGGGGTGGGCATCATCTGAGGACTTGAGGGACAGTGGGACCTGGACAGAGAATCCCATCATCCCCAATTGCCATGAAATGGGGACACACCTGCCCCAGCAGGTTGAATGAGTGTCCACCTGCCAAGGGTGAAAGGCCCATGATATGGGCTATTCCAGGGATGTGGAGAGACTGAGGTCAGCGACCAGAGGTAAGCTGTACAATCGGCCTTCTGGGGCTAGGACCACAGAGATGTCCAGATTTCTATAGAACAAGATCTCTCCTGACTGCTCAGTTCTACTCCACTCATCACCACTTTGGCTCCATTAGCCTTCAGTCTGAACTGTGAAGTCACTTTGAGAATAATGCCAGTTGAGCAGGAGGGTGTTCGGTTTGGGGATAGAAAATGATCTATTTGTGCTGGGAAACCCTCACTCCGGGGAGGAACTGTGGACTCCACTATTTTGTACTGTCCTACAGGGAGGGCTTCATTTTCCCGGAGTCACTGTGGAAGGACAGTGGGTCTTGGTCCGGGGGCACCTGGATGGACCGTCCCTCCTGCAGAACACTTGGGGCAAAAAGGAGGCGAGGCCTGTGAAGAGACCAGACAGAGCAAAATACGTGGAAGAAGAACTGATGCCTGGACCCTTTAGACAGAAGGAAGATGGTCTCCCCCAGCCAAGCCCTCCAGGGCTCCTTCATTTCCACGTTTGAGGCAGAAACGTTTAGGACAAAGGGACCATGTGTGTTCAGTGGGCACACAGCCACCATCAGGACCAGTTTAGGGCACAGAGGTGTTCACAGGACCCTCCTGTCCCCACCCACAGTGGATCTAACAGTGGCTCTGCCAGAGGCAGGCTCTGCCCCATGGGATGAGAAGCCTGGGAGAAGACTTGGGGATCTGGGCAGAAGTCTGGGTTCAGGCCTGAATTTCAACTGGCTGGCAGAACTGAGAGCAAAACCCACGGTCTATGATTCCAGGCCAGTTGCCTCTCTGACCCCAGGCGTCTCACCTGTCGAATGGGTACACTAGAGATGGCACTCACTCCGCCAGAAGCCACCATGAGGGCCAGAAGAGGCAGTGTCTACACTGGCAGTGTAGAAACGGGCGACAGTGAGTGCTCAGGGACAAACCCTCTTGGTAGCTGCCCAGAGGCCAACCGCCCACAGCAGCCACTGTCTCAAGTGAAGCCTGGAGGGGAAGGCAGGTGCCTCACCTGATTCCTGATGAATCAGCTGGCCTGCGTGCTGGGTAGAAACGCTGAGTCACAAGCAATACAAATACCACTGTGGTGGCCTATGTGATACCACTGTCTGCATTAACTGCGTGACCACAGAAGGCAGGCCTGAAGGCAGTTAATTTTCGCGCAGTGACATCTGAGGTCATGTACTTATCTGATGAGGCCTTGCCGGGTCAGCAGTCCAAAGGCAGGTCCTCCACTTTTTGTTCAGCAGCCATACCTACCTGCAATGTGTTTGTGTGCATGCGACACAGTGCTGCATGGATAAACACATCTGTGCACGATGTGTGTCTTTCTCTGTGAGAGCCTGGCTGCCCCACTCATGTGTGCACCAGTTCTCATCTTATATCTCATCCCCAGGTCCAGGACCAGTATCAAGCATCCATGGGTGTTCCCTAACCTCAGCCTCTATTGGGGTGGTCTGGGATACTGCCTCCAGGGTGAAGTGACCAGTGCTGTTGAATCTCAGAATACAAATGCTAATACTATTACCTAATGGTTTTCTCGTGTCTCTAATGGTATCTTTTTTTTTAATTTCTGATATTTTAACTGGGTAGCTATATCCATGACCTTGAATGTTCTAGCTAGAGGATCCTATGGGGAAAGTGCCAGGCACACAGGAGGGCCTCACTCTATTCCAGACACGTTATCTAAAATCTGGTTCATCTGTCCTTCCTTCCAGGGCCAAATTCCAGAGGTCAGAAAGAGTTTGGGATAAAATGAAGCAAGGGGGTGAACTTTGACCGGGGCTGAGTCTGCCTGTGCCATTCAAACAGAGTCTCAAGTCTGGAGATAGGGCGTCCAGGTGCCCCAATGGGGACCTCTGATCAGCACCTGCCCTGCTCTGTGCCAACCCTCACCCACCCCTGCTCAAGCACACTTGGCAAAGTCATAACCAGGAGCTCTGCATCATGGGTTCAGCAACAGCAGATGGAAAATATTCAGAAAATAAAATTGGATGATTTATGTCTCTACCAGACATATGCAGACTTTGTTCTTGTCATCATTACTAAAATACGTCTATCACCATGTTTTATGTAGCATCTGCATTGTATTACATATCATAAATAATCTAGTAATGGTCTATGTCTACTGGAGGATGTGCCCAAGCTTTTGTAGCAAATACTAGGCCATGTTATAGCATCAGGGACTTTGAGCATCCATAGTTTGGCATCCCGGGACCCTAGAACTAATCCTCCATGGATACCAAGGGACAATTGTATAAACTCCTCCCAGGAAGGCTGCTCATTGGAGGAAGGGCCAGTTCAGGCTGAACAGGGACATCATACCTGGACTACTGTCCATCCATCCATCCATCCATTCATCCATTGGCACCACCCTCTGAGTACTGTCGAGTGACAGCCCTAGCAAGTGGAGACATTTAAAAAGACCGGCTCACGTTGTCCAGGTTTGAGGTCTTGGAAGAAGTTGCACCAGTGTGAGAATAAGGGTCAGTTTCCTCCAGGATCAAGAGCATATCAGGGCCTTGGGGTGAGGAAGGGCGCGGCCTCTCCAGTAGCCACCTGGGCTGCAGTAGGATGGGGCTGGGGCTGGCCCTGTTTATCACTTAGCTCATCAGGGAACAGAAAGACCAGGGGGGCAGAGGGAGGAGCATGGGGCAGCTGGTTGCCTAAGCAGAAGGCACCTCGGGGAAGGGTTTTAGTTTGTTTTCACACTGCTGTAAAAAATGCTTGAGGCCAGGCGTGGTGGTTCACACCTGTAATCTCAGTACTTTGGGAGGCTGAGGGGGTGGATCACCTGAGGTCAGGAGTTCAAGACCAGCCTGGCCAACATGGTGAAACCCCGTCTCAACTAAAAATACAAAAAAATCTAGCTGGGCGTGGTGGCTGGCGGGCACCTGTAATCCCACTTACTTCGGGAGGCTGAGGCAGGAGAATCCCTTGAACCTGGAAGGCAGAGGTTGCAGTGAGCCTAGATGGTGCCGTTGCACTCCAGCCTCGGTAGTGGAATTGAAACTCTGTTAAAAAAAAAAAAAAAATACTTGAGACTGAGTAGTTTATAAAGGAAAGAGGTTTAATTGACTTACCTTGTAGGAACTTACAATTATGGCAGAGAATGACGGAAGGGACACCTTCTTCAGAGCGGCAGGAGGAGTGAATGGAGAAGCGAGGAGTGCCACACCTTGAAACCATCAGCTCTCCTTGAGGATGACTCCTCACTCTCAGGGGAGCAACACGGAAACTGTCCCCAGATCCAATCTCCTCCCACCAGGTTCCTCCCTTGACACAGGAGGGATGAGTTTTGGGTGGGGACACAGATCCAAACCTATCAGGGTCTCAGCCTGTCTTGCAGCTCCCAGGGCTGAGGCTGAGTACAGATCTGCTGGCCTGCTCCTTTGGGGGCTCTGCTAATGGCCCCCATCTGCTGCTTCCTGGGAGTGTGCTGCTTCCTCAAGAAAGGAGTTGGATCTGCTCTCCTACCCACCCCTCTCCAGGGCCTTGTGGTGCCCTGGCCACATCCTCCCAGGGTAAGGGCAGGAAACTGGGCTCCTTGCCCTTCTTGTTGCCCAGGTGACCATCCTGGGGTCATTCGTGACCCCATCACTGTTCCTCCTTCTAAATGGAGAGCATTTTGGCAAATCATCCCGGTAGAGGCCGGGGGCTCATTCCTGTTATTTGTTCTGCGCTTGGTAAAGCCAGGTGAAGACATCTGGGCAAGCAGAAAGTAGAGTAGCCCCCAGGAAGGAGGGTGGGTGGAGGTGCTGGCCTTTGGGCTTGCCTGGACCAGCGTGTGAGGGGCAAGATTATCAGCAAGTAGGGTTGTCAGGGCTAACATCAGGAGGCAGTAATAATGCTGGTGGGGGACGGCGGTGTAGCTGGCTTGGTGTAGGGCATGAAACCAAGGTTGTCAGCTCATGAGGCGCCTGACCCATAGAAGAGTGGCTGTGGAACCCAGTGGTTGCCCTTAGTTCCTGGATCCTGGGAGACTTCTGGAACCTGGTTCTGGGGCAGCCTAGGGTGCAGCTGGTGGGTGACAGGGGGTAGGTCTCAACCTCTCTTTCAGTAAGAGGAGAACCAAAGGCACTGAAGCATGGTCTGCAGAGAAGGCACTTGTGCAATCACCAGGAAAATGAGGGCTGAGTTGTGTTTCTCTAAAACATTCCTCCCAGGACACCCTGGTGAGGGCATGAAACACAGGGTATGTGTGTGCATGTGTGTGTGTCTTGACGATGCATGTGTGTGCATATGTGTGTGTTAGAGGAGCTTTACAGTGGACAGGATGTGGGAAGGCAGCTGCAGTTCCAGCTGCAGATCTTACAGTGATAGAGATAGTTTAAAAGATTCCCTGGACACAGAAAGAGTGTTTCATTGCCCATTTTTATTAGCATTTAAATCTGCATTATTTGTAGCAGGTAAACCTTATGTTGTATTTTCAAAACGACACACACCAGCGTTCCCAAACTTTTTGGCACCAGAGACCAGGTTTCTTGAAGACAACTCTTCATGGACCGGGAGGGAAGCAATGATCTTGAGTAGTTCAAGCCCATTACATTTATTGTGTGCTTTATTTCTATTATTATTTCACATATATTTCTGTATTTCATTCCGTCTCTCCACTATCTGTGGGCTAACAGGCTGCGTTAGTTCCCTGGGCTGTTTCACAGGACCACAGGAGCTAAGGCAC